ACATACTATGTTGAAACAAAATGAAAGACAGCATACTATATTGAAACAAAATTTGAAAGACAACATACTATATTGAAACAAAATGAAAAACATACTATGTTGAAACAAAATGAAAGACAACAAACTGTATTGAAACAAAATGAAAGACAGCATACTATATTGAAACAAAATGAAAGACAACATACTATATTGAAACAAAATGAAAGACAACATACTATATTGAAACAAAATGAAAGACAACATACTATATTGAAACAAAATGAAAGACAACATACTATATTGAAACAAAATGAAAGACAACATACTATGTTGAAACAAAATGAAAGACAACATACTATGTTGAAACAAAATGCAAAACTCAGGCAGAGGGTTTTCAACCCGCCAATTCACAGTTCATACCAACCATCAACTCCGGTCAGTCAGTATGACTATTTTGAACTGTAGGCATTATTCTGCGATTCAGCCAATGACGGAGAGAGAAATCTAGGTCAGGCGAAGCCCATACAGTTCAAAATAGTCATTTTGACTGACAAGTCTATGGTGGGTAATTGAACGTAGTGAATATACATGTATGTTGAAACAAAATGAAGACAACATACGATGTTGAAACAAAGTATTAGAAATGGGTATCAGTTGTACCTGACAGTTTCATATCTAGACATGTATTGTAACTGCATTTCATGAAGGTAAGACTTTGTTTAAATATTGACAATTTTGAGAAGATCCCACTGCTTTATTCAAAAATGCTTCCATTGCTCTAAAGAAAATTTGGTAATGGTAAACGAGTCTTTGCAGGTGTCCTTCAGACATTGGCCTCTTTACAACCAAGCATCCTAAACATACGGTGATTGGTCTAGTGGTTTTTAAATTATAAAACATCTATAAACACTTAATATAATATTTGTTTTAACAAATTTATACTTTTTTATGACGCACACAATAACAGCAAATAAATAAAACCACAATTACCTGCTAAATACATATCAGTAGCATTTCTAGGACTAAACAAAACAGCTCGCTTGAGTCCACTGATTTGAATCAAAAAATTGTCCATTATCTAACAAAAACAAATATTGTAGTATTATTACTGTTAATATATATCGTAAAGCTATTTTTATTCTTTAATTCATATACTGTCAAATACTTTATTTTCGCTTGGAATTAATTTTCGCTGGAGGAATGATTCAGTGAAAATAAAATCCAGTGAATATACATTTTTTCCTATATTTTACATTCAACTCGTGAAAAACCAGTGAAAATAAATTCCATACAAAATACCCAAACAGTTTTTTCAGCAAAAATTAATTCCAGCTAAACTAAAGTATTTTACAGTAGCTAAATTTATCTGAAATTGCTCCATAGTGCCTTATCACATGACCATAGTGCCTTATCACATGACCATTGTGCCTTGTCACATGACCATCGTGCATGTCATTCACTGTTGTTTAATGGGAAATATTTGCAGCTAATGTGGTTCATTGAATATCATAATATTCATGTTTAACCTTTTCACCACCAGTTTTTTCTTTTCATCACAAATTAATCCGTCTCATCTATATTCTGCACTCTATTTCAGAATATTGGGAGTAAAAACTGAAAATTGACTCAAATTTTGTCTGTTGGTTCCAAAATTAGGGTTTATTCGCATTAAAAATATAAGAAAAAAAATTGCAAACAAAGTTAAGCGAGAAAGTCTGGTGGTAAAAAGGTCAGTGAATGTGTTAGCGAATTTGATTCAAAACAGAGATTTCCATACTCGTATAATCAACACATATAAATAACTGTCTACCAAGTACAGAGAATTCATTCAGAAATCATATCTCTTTTTTTAATAATGACCACACACAATATGAATTAACGAAAAACTTTAGACAAATTTTATTTTTCTCCTGAGATTTTTCCAGTTTAAGTTGCTTTTTCGGATAAATTTTTGCTCAACGATTTTACTAAAATTCAACCGAAAATTGTGATTACTAAAGATGAATAGTTTTTTCAAAAGTAGCCCATTAAGAAGTTTTACATGCTTACATCATAGTGGGTCCATAATTGAGTGCCTTTTGATGCAATTCTAAACACACTGGAAGTGAAATGATCTTGAGGAAATAAATCTGGTAGTATGATGTCATTACAAAGGGATGGGTACTGTTTCTTAATATCAGCAACATCCTGTCACAGTGAACAAACACAAGATAAGTTATAATGAATGAATTTGATGCCATGGCAACCAAGTACAAAAATAACTGATGTGTTAATCGCTCATCACCAGAGACACAGTGGGTTGGACTCCCACAGTTAACTGCACACACACACACACACACAGCAGTGCAAACAAACGTACATTCTCACTTGCTAAGCTCACTGCATTCGTATTTGGGATGACATTCTTTTGAAGATGACATAAAACTGCCAGTCTTGCATGCTATCCTCAGAGCACATAAACGTTCCAGTTATCCTTGTTGCAAAGAGTACCATTTTCCAAAGAAAAAAAACTGAGATATTCATTTCAATACATGTATGCTTGTGTTGTGCTATACAATTCCATGTGTCTTAATGGCTTGGATCCCATTGACAGAAAATGATAGTACGAGTGGGTAATAAAATATCAAACTGACATTCTAACAATTTGCTAAGTTCTCACCTTCCGTGGATCATCTCCAAGTGATCTAAGATAATATTTTTCTTCCTGGAGACAAAGTTTGGAAGACAAGAAAAAGAATACTGAAACTAGGATATGCAAGATTAAAAAGAATTTAAACAAACAAAAAAGTTAGAAAAGTGTAATGATGACAATTTCATTCTAGACTAATAGATGGAT